CGATGTTGTACGAATTTGTCGTCGTGTGCGTTCGAATGATGGGTCCTGTGGTGTCGTAGCAATAAGAGGGTGTGGGAGTTTCGAAGCCGTTGATAGCCTTCGAAACTCTCGATGTTTATTTTGTTGGCATAAATTTACGGTTAGTCGCCAGCATTCCAAATTTACGGACTATTCATTACGGTACAGTTGCTCGTCGTTTGCGTTGTAGATCTCACTGAGTGATATTTGCGGATTCGAACACTGATAGTGCGCGCGGTGCGTGTTTGTGTTGGTCTTATTGTCTAGTGCGCTTAATGTGACTTATTGCAGATTCTTGAGTAGATGCATCAAGAGTGCCAGTGTCAGTCGTTGAATCCAGCATCGTCAACTTTGATAATCGATGTCGAATTATGCTTTAAGTTTATATGCCGCAACTAAAATTTAACCGTAACTATCGTTGAAATGGTCTGCTTGCGGTATTCCTTGTAACGAACTTCGAATTTGGCAAACTTCAAACTGCCATTTTTGGCGCACTGCAGCAGGGCAGTCAGCGGGTTGCGGTCCCTAGCATGTAATAGGAATGTCCTATAGCCCTGCCGGCAACTGTTACTGCGCAGCCTATGTACTGAGCTACCAAGTGACCTAGTCTATGTAAACTATAGCCTGCGTACGCGTTTGACGTGTGGCGGCCACACCTGCGCCTACGCGGCAACCGTACGTGGGTGTTCACTAGAGCTACAAAGTGGCGCAGATAAGCGTCTATGTCCCCTAACCCTATGTTTGACCTGGCCCTTCGTATTTAGTATTCTGCAGTCCACTATATATATATATAATATATAAATTTATAATATATATATATTTATTTATCTATAGGGTTAGGGTTAGGGTTAGTCAAAATAGGCTAAAGGGTCCAAAGTCAAAAGAGGTCAGGGGACATAGCCTCTACGAGCACAAGGTGGCAGATGCCTGTGGGCGCAAGGATTAGAGAGCATCATCTAGATAGTAGTAACACGATTGTGTCCTATCTATCCGCATCACGCTGTGCCTGTGCCTCTATTACGGCGTCAGCTCTGCTATGTCCCTATGTCCCGTCTATCCCTTCGCGGTCTATGTAAATGTAGTCGTATTGCATGGATGTCCTTATGTGTGCAGCGTGTGGTGTAGACGTGTACGTGTGCATAGATAGTCACTGGTGTGCTGATGTGCGTGTGCGTTGCGTGTGCGTGTCGTGTGCGTGTGAGTGTGTCACTGTGTGTGCATGATGAGTGCGTGCGTGACCCCAGTGCGTCCCAGTTCCTGATTGCGTGCGGTGGTGTTGCGCGCGGTGACGTGTGCATTGCATGCTGTGCCCTGTGCGATACAGACCGTTCTAATAGTTAGAGACTGTGTTAATTTGTGACTGTTTTTACTTCAAGCTCGATTAGATGTGTCGGACAGATGTGGAAGTATTGATGTGTGCGGCGATTAAGTCTTTTGACAGAGTGTTGTTAGGCGTAGTATAGAGTGAGGGATCGGCTCGTAATAAAGCATGCTGCGTTCGGTCCATAAATCTCTTTGTTGTGATGAAACTGCTCGTGAGTTAGTCGTCTGTAAGGTTGCAGAAATGTGATAGTTCTCGTGTGAACTCTGAATGTCTTGTCTGTACGTCGTGGAAATGTGTTAGGTGTAGGTTTGTGTCAGATGTGCGATGTTGGTTTCGCTCGGCAGTGATTTGCTCCCCATGTGATTGACATCTGGTTGCTGGCAGGTGCTCAATCCAGCATTTCGTGTGTGTAGTTCTCGAGACGTAGATGTGTGCAGCGGTTGTGCGAAGTCGTGTGCGGAACTGGCGTCGGGCGATTCTGACGAGTAGTTACTGCTCATCGTGCTCTGTGCGTGTCGTGTTGGTTGCGTCGTGGATGTGCTGCTGCCCGCATATGGGTGTAATGTCTTTTGGGACTTATGTGTGGTTATTTCGTTGTGTGAGATCTCTCGGCTGAGTCATGTTGTGGCTCAAAATATATTCAGACCATAATATAGAATAGAGTTAGGGCCCAGGAGGATATCTTCTAAGACAAGTTCATCTATGATAATACCTTAATCGATCATAGCGTTTAGAATCGACTATATTTCGTCTTATATTGAATACATATATTCAGGTATTAATATGAAACTACCTGTTATTTTTAACTATGTAGAGTGCATATTTATGGAGGTACACGCACTTAGGTCTATACTTATATACTCCGTAGGCATGATTCAGAAGAAATATCATTTGAGCAAACGACACACAGAAATCATTGTTTAATTTAAAAAGTTTTTGAACGATACAAGTCCAGCTTTTAGCTCTAGCGTTCATCGTGTTTGGAAAGTTCTTTAATAAGTTTTTTTTCATGATACTTTCTTCTAATATCGCCTTACGAGTGCGTCACTTTATCCTGATCTGGTGGGGCTGGATTTATGATGCTCATAGGGGCCCGCACCTTTCACTGCGAATAAGCGTAGGTATTATCGACATTATTGTAAGATAATATATTAATACATTAAGATACATATCGATATCTAAATTATTTAAGCATATTCTCTATATTTGGTATATTTGTAATGTGCTTTGCCATTAGTTGAAATTTAAAATTACCACAAAGGTCATTCGTGAAACAAAAACAAAGTCACAAGATACCATGCCGCACGCACACACACGCACACGCACACGCACAGACAGTGACACACTCACACGGCACACGCACAACGCACCGCAAACACACTCTCATTGCACACGTTTTGGACCCCCCAACCCAACTCAGCACACGCCAGTGACACACTCACACGGCACACGCACCACGCACACTACACACGCCACACGCACCACGCACACGCACATCACACGCACACGCACACTCAACACGCACACGCACACGCACACGCACACGCACAGCCACACACATACGCCACTCGCACACACACCAAGAAACACACAAACACGCACGCGGCGCACAGGGCACAGGCACGATGCAACAACGCACCTGCGCGCACACGCACGCACGCCACGCGCACGCACGCACGCCACGCACGCAAACGCACACGCACACACAGTGACACACTCACACGCACACGAACACGCACACGCTACCGCACGCACTCGCACACACTCAGTGACACACGCACACGTACACGCACACGCCACGCGCACACATAAGGCGACACACAAACACGTGCACGCGCGCACACGCACGCACAGGCACACGCACACGACACGCGAGTGACACACTCGAACGCACACGCGCACACATAAGGAACACAACAAACACGCACGCGCGCACACGCACCGACAGGCAACACGCCGACACGCACACCGCAGTGACACACTTCGAACGCACACGCACTCGCACACACAGTGACACACACGCACGCACGCACGCACGCACACACACAGACGCACGCACACGCACACGCACTCGCACACACAGTGACACACTCACACGCACGCGCGCACGCACACACACAGACGCACGCACACGCACACGCACTCGCACACACAGTGACACACTCACACGCACGCGCGCACGCACACACACAGACGCACGAACACGCACACGCACTCGCACACACAGTGACACACTCACACGCACGCATGCATGCACGCACGCACGCACACACGCACGCGCGCACGCACACACACAGACGCACGCACACGCACACGCACTCGCACACACAGTGACACACTCACACGCACGTACACACGCACGCACGCACGCACGCACGCACGCGCGCACGCACACACACGCAGTTATAAAATAGTATAGTTACCTGTCACGAAATGATCAGAACAAACATTGGAGAATTTTGACGGACTCCAGTGCGTACCATTTACATTTACTCATTTACTCATTTACATTTAAATGGCAGTCAGCCATTTATGACTTATCACGCCTCTCTGGACTCTTATGTCATTTTGGCAGTCAAAAAATATCTTTTCTTATCTGTGCAATATATATGATTGTGACAACCTACTACTACACAAGTTTTCGGCATATATGCAAGGAAATTAGTATGCGTTTGGTTTAGAAATGGGGTATTGCGTGTGTAAGCTCACGGAGACAGGCTGTTGTTTTCACCGGCACAGCTGGTTGCTAGGTTAAGAAAGTCCCGGATGTGGCAAAGTTCCCGGCTGTCCGTTCGCACCTATACCAGTCAGTACACAATCTGGCTACGTTAGTGAGTTAGTGAGAGCACCCTAGCCTGTAGGGAGCAAATCTCCTACTTTATCTCCTCCATTTTTCCACTTGCCTTCCTTGTCCCTCGCTCTCTGCCTCCTTCTTTTTCCATCACCCTCAGCTATCTTTGCTGGCGCCTGTTCTCAGTATCCCACCCTCTCTTCCTCATCAAGCTATGTTATGCATTTTTCTTCAGTTCGTACTGCACGCCTGAAAGATTCTTGCGCATGCGCAATATCTCACGAGAAGAAAAATATTTTGCACAAATTAGGATTTAAAATGGAGAGGAGGTATTCTAGCATAGAATTATATGATACGATTTCATCAGTAGAACTCTCCTAAGAAATAGCTAGAAGACCTTGCATGTAAGGTGCCGGCTGCACGTTTACGAGTTTACGAGGACCGAAAGTGTTATATATCTCGATTTCGTTATTTATTGTAGGCATGCTATAAAACGCATACACGATCATAATATCATTCCATTTCTGGGACTTGATCATGAACGGGGTTTCACAAAGCAGGATATGTGATTACAGGTGTTTCCAGGTGTGCCTATGTGATTACAGATGTTACTATGTGTTTTCAGGTGTGTCTATGTGATTACAGGTGTTTCCAGGTGTGCCTATGTGATTACAGGTGTGTCTATGTGATTACAGGTGTTTCCAGGTGTGCCTATGTGATTACAGGTGTGTTTTCAGGTGTGTCTATGTGATTACAGGTGTGCCTATGTGATTACAGGTGTTTCCAAGTGTGCCTATGTGATTACAGGTGTTTTCAGGAGTGCCTATGTGTTTTCAGGTGTGTCTATGTGATTACAGGTGTGCTTACCTGCGTGTTCGGTGACGTGAGCGGTGCAGACGCAACGCCAGTGACAACGTTAAACAGGATGATGGCGCCACTGCTTGCCCCGGCCGCGACATACAGGTCGTTGTGGTTGAACTGCAGGCAGGTCACCTCCGACTTGTGACCCTAGCGACATACATCAACAATAGAACATGACTGCGACGTAACAATATAGGGGATAATAAATCGGTCAATAATAATATTATAATATAGACAATAAATAGGGGATAATAATGACGATAAACAGTCGATTCGTTCATGCCAGCTCCCGTTACGCCAATGCTGTTTTCACTAGATTAATTGTTAGCTACGTCATTGTTATTTCTACAAAATGCAAGAGATTTCATGCAAGACTGCATGAGTTTATGAACAAGCGAGATCGGTGTACGCCCAGCTGATATCTTGTGTGGTGCAATTTCTTGTAACTTAATTGAATCAATCAGGTATTAGTAAGACTACTCAATGTAGACCACTCTACCACCGACCACTGGTAGCATACTAATCAAAAGATAGTGATTTTTAGCCACCTCAGGTGGCTGCGAAGCTTAAACGTTACAGACTACAGGTCTAAGTACTTAATAACATTGAATAAATAATACAATAGTTATGTTATCATTAGCTTTTAATCATTATTAGGACGTGACTAGCAGGGGGACTAGTAGATTAACGCGCTCTCACCTCAGATTGAATAAATAATACAATAGTTATGTTATCATTAGTTTTTTAAGCTCACCTCGTATCGTTTCTTTAGCTCGCTTGTCTTCAGGTCATAAATGTGTACGACTCCACTCCGACCTCCGCTGAGCAGGTAGCGAGACAGCGAGTTGTACGCAACGCACGTCTGACCCTCCTGCTCGCACGCAGAATAAACATCCGAACGTCACCATCGCCCACGTCTCCACGACGACCGTGCCACATTTACGCCGGAAAAGGCTGTTCGCTTGTATGTTTGATTTGTGAAACTTGGTTTTCAAAATTGTTTAGTAAAGAATGACTGGAGAGAAAGTATGTATTAGTATATTATAATTAGGAAAAATCTAGTTCGTGAGTCTCAAGTTAAAACCTCGGCACACACCGCATAAAATTACATTAAAGATGTATACTTACAGCAACAGGTACTTCTCTATATGTGGGAGTGGCGCCATCTATCCGTGTACAAAACAGCTTTTCACCAGACTTTGATGATGATGCGAGACTGGACCCTGGAGAATTATTTCACGTGAGTTATCATTATTAGACAATACTATCATCACTTCATGTGACAATACAGTCCTCGAAAAGGTCACATTCAATGTATAGGTTACCTCGTGACATCAATTTCACTTAACAAGACCAGATGTATGCAAAGATAGCACTGAAAGTATTCACACAAAAGTTCGAAATCTGCGAGTTAATTTGCTAAAAACGCATGCATGCTCGTTTACCTCCCAACTTGCTACCCTTGAATTTTTCACGAAAGTACCTAAATAATGACCTTTCTCTGTCTGCATTATTTTTGGTTTATTTTGAAAGTTATGGTTAGTGTAGTGATAGATCATAGAGTTAGGGTTATGGTTAGAATTAATTAGGGTATATGGTTGGATTTAGGGTTTAGGTTAGCATTAGAGTGGGGAGTTTTTGGTTATGGTAACATTGATTTATGGTTAGGGTTAGGTTATATTTATGGTTTGGATTAGCTTATGGTACCACGTAGAGGGGTTACACTTAGATGCAGAGGTAGGGTTAGGGTTAGTGTAAGGATAGAGATAAGGGTTGCGTTGACGATACGTCCTGACATCGGCGAAGAAACCCCTCTCACAGGGGTAGAAATTAACTTTTGAACACGGGAGTCCAGCTGACTCCCTACCCTCAAAATGAGTGAGTCTGCAGCAAAATGAAGGAGTCCGCGATCTGAGGTTCAAAATTAAAGATATTAACAATAACGCATGTGCTTATTTTTAAGATTTGTGCGGTTGCATGTCTGCAAAATTTTCTTTGGACATTAGCTGAAAAAATAGGGCAATTCCGCGAGGCCGTGCTCCGGAACGAACTAGTTTGTATGGCAGAATTTTCAGGGAGTCACACAGACTCCTGCATATGTCAAATCAGGAAGTCCGACAGTAAATCAGGGAGTATTTGACTCCGGACTCTCGTTAATTTCGCACCCTGCTCTCAGCTATACATATATAGCTCCCAGCTTACCATCGCGACTCCAGTCGACGCAGGCCACGTCCGACGCGTGAGGGTTGAAGGCATCCTGCAGTGAGTAGTCACTGCTGTCCCACAGCTTGATGTCGTTTCCTGCTGTCGCCAACCGCATCGCAGCAGCCAGTATTCACCTAAACACAGACAGGCAGAATACGGACATTATACTTCTCTCTTACACTTCCACCAGACCTCCAATATATTTCTATGCGACAGCAAATTCTGGCACTTTGATTGATAAATGTTGATTGCCAACTTTTAGAGAATCCGCATTGATACTTGTAAGATTAGAATGTTGAACTGAATTTGAATTCAATACAATGATATCTGTGGCTAGTTTCAATGACCGTCAAATACGCAGGTACTTGAAAAGTTTCAATAGTAAAATGATAGTAAATAAACACGAAATATATTTACTACCAGTTTTAAATGTTTCTCTAACCTCCTCAACCTATTATTAGTTATTACTGATAATTTCTTGTAAATGCGATTCAAATGCTGCTCTGCAACACACAAGTACACCGCCAGCATGCCGCTGTGCACAAACAACAAATATAAAAAGCAGGTGGGAAAGCTTGATGGCAAAATTCGCTCGACGCTCGCTTTGTTTCACACTATCACAGGACAAATACACAACCAATAGCCTCCATTTTGGTATCTATGCGTAGCTAAATGTTTACGAACTTTACTTGTTCAAATTATAACTCGTGGAGAGCAACTCGTATTAGAACATCTAGTCGTGTGTGGTGTCACACCCGGGCGCATTATGCTAGCGTGGCTTGGCGGGCCTCGAAACGGAGCTAGGCATCCAGGCTTTCAGATTTGAAAAGTACAGGAGGACTACTAATGACTCCCCTAGAACACCATAGGGCTCCATAATCACCACCCTTAAAGGCAGTGATGGAGAGCTCCATTAAAAAATCACACCCTTGAAGAGAATGACTGGAGAGCCTCCACTAAAAATCACACCCTTAAAAGGTCTGCCATTGCTTTACAGATACGACGAACGGGTGTCATGCAAAGTCTGCCATTCTCATTCGGCTACTCGAAACTAGAGTGGGCTGCGAATAGACTCCAGGTCACAGGCTCGCGATCCATTGCCAACATTGAACAACCTATGGACAGGCGAAGAACTGCCTCAAGGCCACGCGTGACGCGGCGGCTTTGATTACACGATCGACGATGCGACTACTATATACGGCCTGTGTAAGCAGCACGCGGCATACACGACACACACACACTTTTGCAGGCGTCAAATAACGCACACAACGCCAACGTCTGACAATCTCAAACAGTGAACTAAGAACCGTTCTATATTGTAAAGCAACTATATCTACAATTGTATTAAATGAAGGTACTGTTAGTTAGGCTGCTTGGACTGTAAAATGAAATTTGTACATTCTAAACCCCCCTAAAATTTTTCTCAACGGATTTAACGATTCTTCACACAAATCGACCCTGGGACTGTGAAATCGCGGAATTCCGCGATCCGCGAAGATCTCATCCCTGTAAGAATGGAGCGCCTATTCAACATAATTACCACAGACTTGGTGCGCGATTTCAACCACATTTTATGAGGCGGGCGATGCATGCACGCACCAGGCTACAATTTAATGGTGCGCAGTGTGAGGCGGCGAGCGCGACGCCGCCCCTTATTAAAATGAAAGCCTGAGGCATCAGCTAACCCCAGGATGCAATGCAGCCGCTATTATTTAGTTATAAAACAGGCACTCCTCGCCAGGTTGCCATTTTGGCAGGTGGAAGGTTTTCCGCAGGACATATGCCAAAGCCCAGAGGGCAGAGTTTATAATTTGAAACTAGTGTTGAGTGAATATTGTAGCTCTGCCATAGGATACTAAAATGGAGGCGTTGGTTGTACTCTTGTGCTGTGATAGCCATGATACGAATCCAGCATCAACCAGCGAATTTTGTGATCAACTTTCTTAACCTTTCTTACATTTTTATTTGTTTTTGTTGTTTTCTATTGCTTGTTTTTTATGTTACCTTGTGTGTTTCAGAGAAGCATTTGATCAACATTTACAGGGAAAGTACGCAGTAATCATAGCGCCAAAGAGAGTAGAAAACAATTAAGACTTTGTAGTAACACATTGTCGAGTTTTTTAATCAAACTTATTTAACAAACGTTCAAGAAATCAAGTGGCCCATACGCTCTAGTAACTATTAGGCCCGCGTGCAGTTGCCCGCAGAGGCTATAGGATCTTCTATACGGTGCTCCGGACCACTTAGTAACGGTACTTGCAGGCATAAAGTATAAAACGTCTGTGATAGCAATAATGCACTTTTATTCCAAGTGATATGTCTTAAAAGCGCAAATTCGACCATCCCGATTATCGCGAATTTTAACGAATGCTACAGTTAACTGGCAGCCTTGTGGTAGTTAATAAGTACATTACCTTATAGCCAAACGCGTAGTTAGTTTCCAATATCACTGCCTGCGTTACTAAGAAATTGTCTATTGAAATCCGCAGTCCAAGAAATCGCGTTGTGACAGTTCAAAACGCGTATGCCGGCCGTAACCGGTCGTAACTGGCAGGCGGTGCATACCAAGATTATAGTGCACCGCGACATTTTCGGGCACGTATGCTCGGCCGTCAGTGATTTCGATCCTTGTAAGTCTGAGTGCGCATTCCGTACGTTCATGGTTTTACTCTTGGGATCGCGGAATAAATGAAGTATCGTTCTGAGATTACAAGCAACAATATAATATGTGGCACTAGGCAAAAATAATAACACTAGGCAAGACATTACCCGGGACACACAATTCGACTTGCAAACATCTTGTACAACATGTGACGTCACCGAACCGAACTCGATGTTATTTTGTTGGCCATAAATTGGTCACGCGTTGTCGCCAGATTACACAAATTTACGGATTTCAATTAGACATTTCTTAGTAATTAGCAGTGATATTGACAAACTAATACGCGGTTGGCTATAAGGTAATGTACTTATTAACTACACAAGGTGCCAGTTTACTTTAGCATTCGTCAACTTTGCATAATCATGGTCGAATTATGCCTTTAAGTTATGATCCGCAACTAAAATTTAACCGTAACTATCGTTGAAATGGTCTGCTTGCGGTATTCTTGTAAAACGAACATTCGATATGCAAACTTCAAACTGCCATTTTGGCGGCACTGCAGCAGCGGCAGTCAGAGCGGGTTGGTCCCTAAGGCATTTGTAATAGAATGTCCTATAGCCCTGCGGCAACTGTATGCGAGCTATAGTACTAGAGCTACAAGTGGACCTAGCTCTAGTAACTATAGCCTGCGTACGGTTGCCGCGTGGCGGCCCACACTGCGCCAGCGCAACCGTACGTGGGCTGGTTACTAGAGCTACAAGTGGCGCAGATAAGGTATGTCCCCCTAAACCTATGTTTGACCTGGCTCGTTTAGCTATTTCTGAGTACTATATATATATAATATATAAATTATAATATATATAATTTATTATTATAGGGTTAGGGTTAGGGTTAGTCAGAAATAGCTAAAGGCGTCCAAGTCAAACAGAGGTCAGGGGACATAGACCCTACGAGCAACAAGTGGCAGTGCCTGGTGGGCGCAAGGATAGAGAGCATATCCAGTAAAAACATCATTCTATCGATCACCGTCTATCCCTATAGTATAGGCTATGTCCTATGTCCCGTCTATCCCTTCGCGCGCTCTATGTAAATGTACACTACAGCACGTTTAAATGAATTTAATGTACTTACACGATATGGAAACTGAGATATGCGACTAACTTTACATAGTAGTAGTAAAGAGTGAGATCGCCTAAAAATCGCTCGTCATAAAGTCTC